TCCCCCGCCCCCACCAGGAAACCGCAGGAATCAACTTTCCAAGAGCGCGCAGCGGGGTACAGACACCCAGCTCATCCATAAACCCCAACCCAGTGGACTTTGGATAGACTGAGGGAGGGAGAAGAAAAGGAGGAACATGAAAGAGGGAGGAGGGAGATTCCGCTGCCAAGCGCCTTGCCATCAAAGACTTGCACTGTGTCCCAGGCAAACTTCCAAGACAAGAAAGCAAGAGTGGGGGGGAAAGTCAACACTTGCTGAATATCAAAACCTAACTGCACCAGGGCCATCTGGGTTTACCGACCCCGTGCGCCCCAACCCTTTATACTGGATGACCCTCACTCTCCAGCACAACTCTAACCCCCGCCTGCGCCTCCTCCCGCCCTTCTCCAGTCCCTCGCACCGAACCCGACGTCTTACCGGAGCAGGAGGGAACCTGGGCACCTCCCCGCCATCCACCCCTGCTTCGCCTGGCCGCGGGTGCCGCCGCCGCTGATCCTCCAAACGCGGTCTCCCCGCACTCTCCCGGGCCGGGGGGATGCAGAATGGTTTACAGAGGGACCGCGGATCGCTGATTGGTCGCAAGCCGCCGTGACGTCGGCGGGCGCTGCATTAAGGCGAGGGGGCTTCCAGAGCTCAGCCAACAGCCAGGAGCAGTGACCGAGCCGCCAGAGCCGGGAAGAGACGCGCCAGGGCGGCGGACAGGACCCGGAGATCGCAGACCAAGGGACGCACGCCCGAGGAGAGCCAACGACCAACCGCGACCTGGGTGGCGACAACAGCTGCCCGCACCGAGCTGTTACAGACGCCGGCCTACTACTGTGGCCGCTACACCAGGATCTTTTTTTGAAAAGCTCTCCAAGCTGCCCCCTCCCCCTGACTCCTCCCGCTACAAAAGAAAAAAAAAGGGGGGGGAAGAAGGCTAGAAAGGGAACCCAGATTTGCCACTACAACGAAAAAAGAGGGAAGCAAGGGGGAAAAAAGAAAGTCGCGCGACTGCGGGGTTGGACGCAGTCAGTGGAAGCGCGGGCCGAGAGATGCGGGACTGTGCGCCCAGGCGGCCGCGAGTTGTGACTGGAGCCACGATGTACGGCCAGGCGCGGTAAGGAGCCAGTGCGTCTCCGAAGGAGCCCAAACACAGGGAAGGCCGCCCCGAGGACACGGAGGCCGCTGGGCCGGACACCGGCCGAGGTGACGGGGCCGGGGCGGTGGGAGCAAAGGAGCGCACCTGGCTGAGAACACCGCGAGTTGTCTCTCTCCGTCCTCGATTAACAAAAACACTTCTCCAAAAGGGGATAAACCCCTGCAACAGCAGCAATCAACAACCAGCTATCTATCCCTCCTGCCTCCCTCCCTTCCCCGCTCCCCCCTGGATCTGCCCCCGCCCCTCCCCCTCCCCCTCCCCGGGGCCCAGCGCCGGCGCCCTGCGCATCCCGACTCACTGCGCGATGCCGGCAGTTTAGAATCCAAAGCGTCTCTTGTTTTGTGCTTTCCTTGTCTTTAAAAAAAAAAAAAAAAGAGCGGGGAAATCCCTGCGGGGGCAGCCCGGCATACACACCCCCGCCGTCACACCCCAGCCCAAAGCAGATGCACTTTGACTTCTGACAGCTCTACCTCAAGCTAGAGAGAACTCCGCGGCGCTGTCCCTGCAATCTGAGCTCGCCGCCCGTAGTCTTGCTTCTCAGCTTATTTATTTCCGTTCCCGACGCGGTTCTCAGTGACCTTCACTCCTCTGCTGGCTCTGGGAAGAAGGGTCGCTTTCTCGCCCGCCAGAGACTCCTTTTCATCGCTCCGGCAGCTGCGACGGAGTTGCTCAGCCCTGGGGCCCTGGGACTTTTGGGCTGCGCGCTCCACGGAGGCGCTCCCCGCCCCCATCACCCTCTTTTGATTTCCTGGTGCGGGTTTTGGCTAGCCCACGGCCGAGTGGGTCTCTTTTTTATTGGAGGGTTGGGGAAGTTCGTGCAGGTCGTCTTCGGGAGTCAGTCCCTCGATTCTACCTGCCCCTCTCCCTCCGGGTCCCACCCGACCAAACCAAAGACCATGGTGCACTGTGCCGGCTGCAAAAGGCCCATCCTGGACCGCTTCCTCTTGAACGTGCTGGACAGAGCCTGGCACGTCAAGTGCGTGCAGTGCTGTGAATGTAAATGTAACCTGACCGAGAAGTGCTTCTCCCGGGAAGGCAAGCTCTACTGCAAGAATGACTTTTTCCGGTGAGTACTTACTCGCGCGCCTAGGCTGCTCCTTGCCCACTCACCCTTGGAGGCCAGCGTTCTGATCAGAGGTCGGCGTGGCCTCGGGTTCTCACCGGGAACTGCCTCTGGGCAGGGAAGCTGCCAGGGCAGCTAAATCCCGAGGGTGTCCGTCTCTGACCTTGCTGGCACGCTAGAAGCTCGAGACGCGGCCCTGCTTGTGCCCTGGAAACTGTGGGTCTTGGTTTGACTGCACATGCCTGGGAAGAACAGGTCTGAGCCTCCTTCGGCCCAGAAACCTCTCCAAGCTTCGAAGGCGGCAGGGCAGTCTGGGGTCTGTCCTTCCGCCGCTGAGCTCTCCAGCAACTGCCCGGGCTCATTCCCTCCCACCTGCTTTTCCAGCTTGGAGAGGTCCTGGTGGGAACGCCGAGCCTTTTGCTTCGTGTGCCCAGTTCTCTTGCCATAGGAGCTTCAGGATAGAGCTGGGCCCTGAGGCCGACTCCTCAAGCCTGAGGGTTTACCCCAAACCTGCTTTGGTCTGGTAAATGGCTGCACTGTCGTCGGCAAACTGCCCCGGAGAATGGCGGGGCCAAGTTCTCCCCGCTTCTCTGGCTGCTGGCGCCTCTATTCCGAGAAGAGGGCTCCGAGGTGAGCCCTTCCCAGGCACTGTCCTTTGCTGCCTCTTCCTCCTTGCTGAAACCAAGGAAAACACGGAGACCTGGCGACCGGAACCTAGAGGCCTTATTGCGCTCCTCCTGCTTTTAGCGTTTTAACTGTATTCACATCTCCAACAACGGTCAACAGAGAAGCAAAGGCTCACAGGCAAATTGTAATTCCCCTGTGCGGGTTTGGAACTTCTTGATTTACTCGGTTGATTTGGTTTATGCTTTTCTCTGAGTATGTGGTAACGGCCCAAACTGGTGGGGTGGGGGTTGCGGTGGCGATAGTGTTCGAAGTCAGCCGAGCCACTTTGCCCAGAGGCCTACCTAGGTCGCGCCTTCCCCAATGCGTCTTTCGGACGCATGGCACCGGGTGTTGAGAGGGAGCCATCGAGCAGCGATGTGTGTACATGTGCACTATTATAAGAAAGCGTGGTTTGATTCTCTGAGCCGTTGCCTACCGGCCGGGTTTTCCCAAAACCCAGTCTAGGTATCCTTTGCAGGTGGACCCCCAAGGCCTGGCTCCCGGTAAAGCGCGCCAGAGCGCCTAAAACCCTCTCAGTCCCGCGACATCTTGCTGCTTGCGCCTTGCAGCCCAGTTGCGCCCGCCTGGATTCTAGGTGGTCCGTGGTTTACTCTCGGAGGGGTGGAAACTCTTCATCATCAGTCTGTGCGCTCGTCCTTTACCTTGAGAGAGTCCGACGCTAGGAAAGAAAAAGGGGTGCTCAGATCACATGTCTATGAAATTCTCGAATCGAACTGTCCTCCGAATCTAAACGGCAAGTTTCCCACCTCCTTCTTGCCTTCAGCGGCGCTTTTCTCCTCTGGGATAACACTTGCTGGACAGGAGTTCGTGCCGGCGACTTGGGTCCCTTGCTTTAATCTTGTGTGTCTCTTCCCTCATGCCCGCGCTCGGCTCCTACCTCATCACTCACTTAATCGGCATTCTATTCTCTTTCGTTCTCCCCTTCTTTCCTCCTTTCCTATTTGCTCCTCTACTTTCTGCTACTCCTTTTCTGTTTCGCTTTTCTGCTTTTGTTCTTTTCCCCGTCTTCCCCTGTCCCTCGCCAACCCGGTCTCCTCCTGTAGGTGTTTCGGTACCAAATGCGCTGGCTGTGCGCAGGGCATCTCCCCCAGCGACCTGGTGCGGAGGGCGCGGAGCAAAGTGTTTCACCTGAACTGCTTTACCTGCATGATGTGTAACAAGCAACTTTCCACCGGCGAGGAGCTGTACATCATCGACGAGAACAAATTCGTCTGCAAAGAGGATTACCTAAGCAACAGCAGTGTCGCCAAAGAGAACAGCCTCCACTCTGGTGAGGCCCCAATTCCCGGCTCCCTGAAGGAGGGCGGGTCCTGACAGACACAAAGCCCGCCAAGACCGCTCCTCACCTGTCTCTTCCTTCACTCTCCCCAGCCACCACGGGCAGCGACCCCAGTTTGTCTCCAGACTCCCAAGACCCGTCGCAGGACGACGCCAAGGACTCGGAGAGCGCCAACGTGTCGGACAAGGAAGGGGGCAGCAATGAGAATGACGACCAGAATCTGGGCGCTAAGCGTCGGGGGCCGCGCACCACGATTAAAGCCAAGCAGCTGGAGACGCTGAAGGCCGCCTTTGCTGCCACGCCCAAACCCACGCGCCACATCCGTGAGCAGCTGGCCCAGGAGACCGGCCTCAACATGCGTGTCATCCAGGTTAGGGTAGGGGAGCACCATTCCGCCCCCCAGAGGTCCGCACGGCTGTCTTGCGAGTTAGCCCAGACCGAGAAAGCACTGCAGGGAGACGGAGCGGTGGGGGCGGGTGCGGAGGAGAACCCTACACACCTAGACCCTGCCAGGCCTTTGAGGCGCGGAGGAATGCGCTCAGCCTTCGGAAATAAATCCCGAAGCCTCCTCCCCTTCCCAGCCCAACTAAGGGATCGAGACGGCGGAGAGGGAGGAAGTGGGAGCTTAGCAGGAAGCTGGAGGAGGGGACACTGTTGAACACTGCTGCAAGACTTGGGAATCCTCTTTCTGCATCACTCCCCTCCTTTCGGGAGGAGCTGAGTGGTCTATGAGTACACAGGAAGTAATCCCTTCTGCTGGCCTCTGTGTCCCTCACCCCAACTTTGTGGATACCTTGTCCCAGTTAGATAAACCCCAGAGTAGAGACTAACCTTTTAAACACAAATGGGATTTACAAGACTGAGGGAGAAGGGGCTGGGGCTGGAGTCAGCTGTACCTCAGGGGTAAAGGCGGAGAGCAGAGGCAGTCATCTGGGGGTAGCTGGGCCTGTGCATTGTGAGGGCAATAAGTCTGCATGTGATTCCCTTGGCCCGAGTGTCTGATCCAAGCCGGGTGTCCAAAACGCAAACCCAAGTGGATGTACCTGGGAGGCAGAGTAGATGTGTGCGTGAGTGAGTAGGGGTCCGTTCAGTAGGAGGCCCTCCGTCCTCTTGGAAGTTGTGGGAGCCTGTGCACACTTAAATGGGAGGTTGAGGGTCTATGTCAGAGGCTGTGAGGGGGATGTTTGGCACTGGGATGGTGAGAGTGGGTGTGAGAATGAGATTTGAGTTTGGACTATTGGGAGATAGAGTAACAACAGGAGGCCGGTTCTGTGTCGTTTTGTCTCTGTCGTGGAGGGAGCTGCCAGGGGACTGCAAAAGCGGAGCTGTGTGTGTGTGACACTAGTGTACAGCCCTTGAAACGCTTTAATTGTGACAGAGACTGTTAGAAACAACAGGTCTGGCTCCCTCTACCCCCAACCTCCGAGTGCCTCACGTCGGGAATCCTGCTGACCGTTGGCTCAGTGTGCACCCAGCGCAATCCCCACGCAGAGACAGATACTCCACCGCCACACACACACACCCCAGGAACCAGGAGTTCGGCAGTAGAGAGATGAGGGGACTGGGCCTTGCATCCGGATTTAGGGGATACTCAGTGGCCTCATCCTGCGCCGTGTGTCCTTCAGGTCTGGTTCCAGAACAGGCGCTCCAAGGAACGGAGAATGAAGCAGCTGAGCGCGCTGGGCGCCCGGCGCCATGCCTTCTTCCGTAGTCCGCGCCGGATGCGGCCGCTGGTGGACCGGCTGGAGCCCGGCGAGCTCATCCCCAATGGGCCCTTCTCCTTCTATGGAGGTGGGTAAGCGGAGGGGCGGCGGGGCGCGACCAGGCCGGGAGTGGCTTCGCTGGAAGCGGGTAGCAACGCAGGAGGTGCTCCTCGCTTTCTGTAAAGAAATGGAGAGTTAGGGAGCAAAGGAGGAAGTCTAGGGAGTAAATCCTAGGGAAGCAGTGAGTCCAGGGAGGATCCCGGCCCTGAAAGACACATAGGCAGGGAGGGAGCAGCTCGGGAGGGTACTCCCAACCTCTCTGCTTCTAGCCTTGCTGGGGCGCCTAAGCCCTCCCCTCCTGGCTCTGAGCTTTACTGCCTGGGGCGCCCCGCCTGCCTTAAGGACCCCCCTAACCTGGCCTGACCTCCTCCTCCCCACCGTCCCGCAGATTACCAGAGCGAGTACTACGGACCTGGGGGCAACTACGACTTCTTTCCGCAAGGTCCCCCATCCTCGCAGGCCCAGACGCCAGTGGACCTGCCCTTCGTACCATCATCCGGGCCGTCTGGGACGCCGCTGGGCGGCCTAGAGCACCCACTGCCCGGTCACCATCCGTCAAGCGAGGCGCAAAGGTTCACCGACATCCTGGCGCATCCTCCTGGGGATTCACCCAGCCCGGAGCCCAGCCTGCCCGGGCCCCTGCACTCTATGTCGGCCGAGGTCTTCGGTCCCAGCCCGCCCTTCTCGTCGCTGTCGGTCAACGGAGGGGCGAGCTATGGGAACCACCTGTCCCACCCCCCCGAAATGAACGAAGCGGCCGTGTGGTAGCGGGTCTTGCATGGTCCGTGGAGTTCATGATTGTACAGATATGAACCTTTATTTAAGAAAAATAGAAAAAAGGAAAAAAAAGAAAAACATAAAAAGCAAGTCCTCCCCGCTCCTTCCTCCAGCTTCGGGGACCATTCTCCGTCTGGGGAGACGGGATGGGAAAGCGGGACACGAAACGGGATCCAAATCCACCTCGAGGCAGGACTGGGATCTATTCGCTGGCGGGAAAGGTGCAGAACTGGGGCTCCCGAAGGGAAAGGCAGACCCCTCTCCACCTCCCACCTGGACCCGGGAGCGTGGAAAAGACCCCGCAGGCGGGCGCGCCTGGTCAGCAGGCGGCGGAGAGACACTCACGGCCACTGCGGGCGCGCACAGCCGGTGGTGATGCCAGGAGTCAAGGGGCGGGAGGCCTCCAGGCGCAAACCTGTGAGTGTGGTGAAGAGGTTTGGGCCAGGTCTGGAGGGTTCTGGCTCTAGGAAACCCCTTCTTAGTGTTGTCTCAACAACAGCGACAACTCCTAGCTTCAGAAACGCCGCCCTGCTGTGCATCAGGTGGGACTATATATATATACATATATATATATTTTGTCTATCTGGGTTTTTTGTTTTTGTTTTTTGTTCTTTGCCAAAATTGCAAAATTCTAAATGTTAAGCCCTCAGTATCAACTCTTCTACCTTCACAAAACTCTACACACACTTACACGGACACACTAGTTCGAATGATTTCCAGCCAAACCTCTCACTAAAATGACTTGAATATTAGCCGTACAAGAAAATAATTCTACCTTCACACATGAGAAGTTAAAAAAAAAAAAAAAAGACTATCGAACTAAAAAACAGTCAACTGTTTACGTATAATGTTAAATTCAGGAGTTCAGTGTTTTACTAATATATCCTGTTTTGAAAACCTCTTGTTCAAGAACAAAATGTTTTGAGCAATCAACCAAAATTGTTTCTTTTCTTTTCCTGTAGATGTTCTGACAGATTTGCAGGGCTTGCGGCTCACTGTGCTAGTATGTAAAAAGGTGTTGTTTACACGAGGCAAAGAGAAAACAGATATTCAGACAGTTGCCAAATAGAATAATTATAGCACAAATACTGTAAAGGTGCCTGGCACCAGCAACCTGAGAAAGTGTTTTAAAAAAAAGTGTTACAAGGTTTAAAAAAAAAAAATCTTTGCTAATTTTTAGTCCTGTTGAACATTCACGGAATTGTTAATATGACTTATATAGACCCACACAGGTTTTATTTTTGTGTCTTTAAAATAAAAGTCCAAAATATTTAAATTTTATGGTCAAATATGCAGTCAACAGCTGCTACTTTTTTCTTTATATATTAAATTTCTCATATTGTCTTTTATTGTTCTAATAAACCTAAGCTTGTGTGACCTCCAGTGCATATTAGACCATTCACTGTATGAAAGAAAACATGTTGAATAAATTTGTGAGTTTTTAATAAAAATAGAAAACCCGATGTTTAGGTAATCATTGTGTTATTTTCTAATTTAACACCTAAGAGGAGAATCTTGATGGGGAACTCAATAAGCGCTCAGAAGTCAGGAGGATGAGAGGCAGGATTGAGGTGATGTATCCATTTTTGCCTTAGCTATGGCTGAACCCCCTTACTAATGCCTGCTAAGCTTTTCTCTGTGGTTTCCTGCTGTTATTAACTACAGATTTGCATTCTATGGATTTAACTGATACAGTTGAAGTGATGTTTGCTGATAAATTAATGTACAATTTGAAATAGAAATGGAATCCATGGCTAAAATGAGTGGTTCAGTTTGTGATTAGACATGAGATTCTGCATTCTCTCTGCCCCATGCCACACAAATGCAAAATTGGGTTTGTGAATGTCAACCTGTAAATATACGATTAGAGGTGATCCTTTTCGGTTTCATTTCCCATAGATAATCCTGCTTTTTAATTTGGTGGTTTGAAAGAAAATGTAAAATGAATATACAGTACAGCTAGAAATGGAATACTTTAATCCCTTTCACATTTCTGACATGAAAGCATTGTTTTATAGTATTTGTTATGTTTGAAGTTCCCAGGAAGGAAAAATATTTTGCCTGGTACAAGATACATATTAAGTTTCTCAGGAAGATAAAACAAAGCAACCAATATAGAAATAAAATTTCAACTGGAGTTGCCAATAGGTTCTGAAAAGTAGTTCAATCCCTTCCAAGCCTTCATTAGATATGGAAGGAATTTAAATATTTTATCTACTATGAAATAAGTATGTGGAGGGTGTATGCGTGTGTTTTAATATTAGATGCTATTAGAGTTTCAGAATTTCTCCCTCACATCACCTAGGCTTCAGTCTGGAATATTCAATTCCTTATTTTAAAATACCAAAATGTCTGCATTAAATGGTATGTAATTTCCAGTGGTGTTTTCATATTTTGTTAAGACGCAAACAGGTTTACTTCTCCTGCAGAGAAGGCTTTAAAATAAGCAATACTTCACTGCATATATATGACTATTTATCTAATAAGGGGGGAATTATCAGGGAGAATTCGGTCAGTGTTCTTCCAAAAATCGAAATTTGTGAAATACAGTGGAGACTTTTGAAACTCTTAGCCTCGGCAGGCAGTTCATTTCTTCATCTTCTCTATATACGATCGCTGGATCAACTTGTTGTAGTCTTTTTAGCATTTATATACATTAAATCATAGCCAACTTATTCATTGTGGAGTCCTCATCCTCCTTTAAAGTTATTCATTCAACTGAACGCATGCTCATTGGGATGCTGCGTTTTCCTATCAGGGCTGCTGAATTATTTAGCAGTTTTATTGTGGAATCGCGTACTTGATAAGAAGCGTTTTAGAGTTAGGCACCAGGGTGTGAACTCAATTCTTCTGTCTGACTCCGCGGCAGCAGTTCAGTCTTCCCTTTCCGCGCCACATCCCGAACCCTGGTGACTACCGGAACAGGTGGCAACGCTCAGCAGTCAAATTTGGAGTTCAAGGTCCGGGAGGAGGAAGGAGGTCTAGACTTGGCAGAGACTGTCCTATCGGAGTCAGGAAGCCCATCCCTGGGCCAGAGTAGCGGGGCAACGCTGCATCATCCCTTCGTGGCGCGCCTGGGAGCACCCAGGGGAAACAGGCGGACTAGAGAGGCGCGCCACAGCGGTTCCCTGACGCCCAGAAGGGCTGCCTCCTCTCTGGCCCGCTCTGACAGCCTGTTTTCTTCTCGCGGCCATCTTCAAGCCGCCTCCCGGGTGCCTCCAGTCACCTGCCCTCGGGTTCCAGCGGCGGGGAGCCGCCATCTGCCCGGGTGAGGCAGCTGAAGCTCCCCCACCCAACCTCTCCAGGCTGGCGGAGGCTAGGGAGGTGGTTTGAAGCGAGATAGGGTTGGGGAGAAGTATGCATGGAGAACCAGGGCAAGGGAACTGAGAAGAGAGGCAGATCTCGAAACCTCCTAGTTCCCTGAATAGTTCAAGCCACTTTGCTGCCATCCTCTTCTACTCCTATATCCGCTACCACTTTGTAGTTCTTAGGCAGCAGGCAGAGATTGTGAACGGGAGACTCCCCCTGCCTTCTTTGGAGAGGACTTTTCTTCCGGAGGAGTGCTTCCCTTTAGTCTCATCTCCCTGTTAGTACAGCCGGAGGTTGAGATTTCTGCTAGGGAAGTGTAGTCTTTGAACACTCCCTTTCCATAATCCACCTTACATTTCGCATCAGGCATTCTTCCCTAGGATCTCAAGAAATTAGAATGCTAGAAAGGAGGGGGCCCCAGAAAGAGCATTTGGGAGGTTCTAGTCCCTGCCTCAGTATCCTTCAGTTACATATTAAGGTCTTGGATTCTTTCTTTCTTTCACTCCTGGGGGGATCATCTTCCTACCATCAATATGGAGTGGAGTAGTAAGCCAGGAGAGTAATTTGGGGATACCTGGAGCACATATGTGACCGTAATGGAGTGGTCTTGACACTTTCTTAAAAAGGCTTCCTCAGGAAGTCAGTGGGAACCAGGACAGAGAAGGAGAGTAGGTGAGCAGATAGATCTACAGCTTTTCTTATGGGTACATACCCAGGCCAACCCCAGAATCATCTAATAGTGACCATGTTTGTAGGGTAGCTCAGAGGTAGTCTCTCCCCCTGCCTTACCTCTTCTCATTACTCCAAGGTCAGGTTTCTAGGCATTATTAATGTCCTCAGTAGCAAGGGGAAAGGATTAAAGGGAATAATTTCCAAAATGTGGGGTCAGAGAACCAGTTTTGTTCTTTGAAGCTCAGGGAGATGCCAGTTGTTGTAGGCTGAGGAGCACATTGCTGCTCTGAAGGGACCAGAAGCAAGCACCAGACTTCAATTACAAAGGATAAGTTAAAATATATATATTTAAATCTATTCTCACCGGAGTTCTGCAGATGGTAAAAAACAGTTTTCCTGGCTGAGATCTCTGTCTAGGGTGCCTTGTACTAGCCTTTATTCCTCAAGAGCCACCTATAATGGGAACATGGAATAGGGCACACTAAAGTGTTGACCTCTGATTGCTCTTGACCTAAGGACATAGGAAGACAGAGACCCTGACGTCCTCAGGATCACACAGGAGACACTGAGGATCCAACTGGCCTGGGCTGAACCCAAAAAGGAACACTGTCACAGTATACCTGTAGCATCTCTTTTCTGGATCCTTTTGATGTAGTGTTTGTTTAGGAGGTTCTAGGTCTCTATAGGTGACCTCAAACATGGTCAGAACACTTGATACTCACCTCTTAGTATTTCTTATTGCAGTTTCTGTTTCCATCTATAAGTTTGTCTGCCCCCCAGGCTGCTGACCATCAGGACAGAATCTAACTTACTCACTTTTGTATTTCATCTAGCAGTGTCTGCCACACAGAGGGCAGTCAGGGAATGCTTGATGAAGGAAGGCAAATGTAAAGGGATTGAATCTTTATGTGTGCCTGGATTCAATTTGTCCTATGAAGTCTTCATATTTTGAGTCTCCTTGTGCCCCTCAAAAGGGAGACCTGAGTTTTTCTGCCTTTGTACACCGGTTCCAGGTGTCTGAACATTTCATTTCTTCTTTGAACAGTAAAGACATCAATTCTGAGGGTGTGCAGTAAAGAAATCCCCACGCCCTTTTCAAAAAAAAATCCCACTTGCTTTTCTTCCCCTGCTCCCACAAGGCTACTTGGGAGAAGCTACAGAAACGATTTTTATCTCTGCACAGCCAAGTTGTTTGTTGTTGCTAGGTGACATCGAAGCGATTCCAATTTATAGAGACTCCTACATATAGCAGCGTAGTGGTTACGAATCGGGCTGCGAACCTTAAGGTCAGCGGTTCGAAACTACCAGCCGCTCCGCGGGAGAAAGATGAGGCTTTCTGCTCCCGTAAAGATTTACACCCTTGGAAACCCTGTACAGGGTCGCTATGGGTCGGACCCGACTCGATGGCACTTAACAACAACAACAACACATATAGCACTGCTGGTCCTGAGCCATCCTCACAAGGATTCCTGTTTGAGGCTTCTCCTCTTTTATGCTGACTCTCGACATGATGTTCTTGTTAAGCACCATCTAGCCGACCCTGTGCTGGGTTTCCAAGGAGCAACCGGTGGGTTTGAACTACCGACCTTGGGATTAGCAGTCCAGTGTTAATCGTACAGGTCTCCATGATGTCCTTGTTGTTAAGTGCCGTCGAGTCGGTTCCGACCCATAGCAACCCTGTATAGGGTTTCTGAGGAGTGGCTGGTGAGGAGTGGCCAACCTTGTGATTCAAACCGACTTTGCAGTCCATTGCGTTAACCCGCAGCGCCCCACCAGGACTCCAAGATGACCTTTGGTTGGTTGGTTGGTTATGTGCCATGGAGTCGGTTCCAACTCATAGCGACCCTGTACAGGCTTTCCGAGGCTGTATATCTTTACGGGAGCAGAAAGCCTCATTTTTCTTCCGCGGAACAGCTGGTAGTTTAGAACTGCTGACCTTGCGGTTCGCAGCCCGATTTGTAACCACTACGCTAACTTAGCAATTCCAAATTATTCCTCTTAATAAAAAGCGCCAGCAATCAGTCCAAGTGCACTTACAATACTCAGCCCTAACACAGGATATCCAAATTTTGGCCACTGGGTCGGAGACATGTGCCTTACTTCTATATTCTTTCAAATCGCGAAATACCAAATCTGCTTTGGGTATAAACCTGAGCGTGCCGGAGTTTCGAGATGCTGACTCTAATTCCCTTCCCCTTCCCAAATAAACCACCACGGGTCAGAGGATAATTGCATTTTATTTCTATGCGAATCTCGCACGAATCTTGACGCATAGTTCGGTTAAGGGAACATCGGCCGCGCGCACAGCAATCTCTAAAAGCTGACGGTGGCCACGTGCCCTTGCGCGCTCCCGTACTGCCTAACACGCTCCTTCGACGCACGCGCACATGCGCAGGCCGGCTGACAAGCTCTTCGGCCTTCGGTAAGCTTCCGCTTTCATCCTAGCAACGCTCGTAGTTACGCGTAATCCCCGCCCCTTCTTGCTTGACTCCCGGAAGTTGCCGGCTCGTAGTTAGGTGCTTGGTTCTTGAGCGGTTTCAGGCTGTGTTGGGGAATAGTAGTCTCGGGGCGAGACGACCCAGTGGGGAGACAGCTTTCTGGCCGGGGTTGGGTCGCAGATTTAGGTACGCGAGGCGGACCGAGACCTGGTGACGATGGCGGGGCCGCAGCCTCTGGCGCTGCAGCTGGAACAGCTGTTGAACCCGCGACCACGCGAGGCGGATCCTGAGGCCGACCTGGAGGAGGGTGAGGCCGGGCTGGGGGAGGCCACGTGCGAGCCAGGGGGTCGCGTGTGAGGGTCCGGCAGCGAGCCTCGCCTGCTCGCCGCCTCCTGGCTCAGAGAAAAGCTCATGAGGGCCTCATTCGGACACCCATTAGCTAGATTTGGTTCTCTAGTGGGCGGAACATCCGGGAGACTCAGACCAAGTGTCAATGTGAATCAAGGGCTGTTGCAGGGAGCTAAAGTCTGATAGCAGATTGGAACTTGGAAGCTATCTTTCAGGATGCTGTTACTGGTACTGCGTTAGATGTGGGGAGAGTTAGATTTGGGGAGAACAAAGTTTTTTTCTCTAGCTGCCCATGAGAATTTGTTTGAAGAAGAATGGAAAATGTAGATTTCCCTAGTACTATTTAAGCCTCTTTAGGCCTCAAGACATTTGCTCAGGTGCTGAAGAGAGAAATTGGTGTTTTGTATGCTCAACCAGCTGCTCCTTGGAAACCCTATACAGGGTCGCTGTGGGTCGGAATCGAATCGATGACAACAGTTAACAACAACAAAGGCTAAAGGTCTAGCCTGTTTTAGACTTGAGTGAGAAGTGTGAGGGAGGGTGACTAAGGAGGGATAAATGTGAGTGCTAGACCGTGTAAGAATATCAGTTGAAAGAACTGGGGCTTTTCAGCCATATAAATGAAGAAAACTCGCTGAGAAGTAGGAACCGTGCAATGCTAGAACAGGATGGCTGACTTGCAAGCCATATTGGAGGGACTGTCACATAGGAAAGAGGAGAATTAGCCTTGTTTTGTATGATCCACGGCATAGCAGTATAACGTATGAGTAGCTGCAAAGAGTCAGCATTCTGTTCAGGTACAGTAGTAAGGGGAGTAGCCTATCTTGGAAAGTAATGAGTTCCCTATACTTGGGGAAGTTAGTGGGGATTATATAGCGAATATTCAAGCATAGGATGAAGGGGTTGACTGGGGTTTTCATTAAAATTTCTTCTAACATGGAGATCCTAATTACTTTCCCCCTCCCCCACAGCCACTGCTGCCAGAGTGATTGACAGGTTTGATGAAGGGGAAGATGGGGAAGGTGATTTCCTGGCAGTGGGTAGCATTAGAAAACTGGCCTCAGCCTCCCTCTTGGACACAGACACAAGATATTCAGGCAAGACTACCTCTAGAAAAGCTTGGAAGAAAGACCACTGGGAGCAGGCTCTGCTAGGCTCATCTGGTGAGTAGACATACTTGCGTGGTACTATTTCTTGATTTTTAAGTGTTAATTTTTT